AGTGACCGTGAAGGATCACCACACACTGTGCTCTCACAGTGACCGTGAAGGATCACCACACTGTACTCTCACAGTGACCGTGAAGGATCACCACACACTGTACTCTCACAGTGACCGTGAAGGATCACCACACACTGTACTCTCACAGTGACCGTGAAGGATCACACACTGTACTCTCACAGTGACCGTGAAGGATCACCACGCACTGTACTCTCACAGTGACTGTGAAGGATCACCACACACTGTACTCACAGTGACTGTGAAGGATCACCACACACTGTACTCACAGTGACCGTGAAGGATCACCACACGGTACTCTCACAGTGACCGTGAAGCATCACCACACACTGTACTCTCACAGTGACCGTGAAGGATCACCACACACTGTACTCTCACAGTGACTGTGAAAGATCACAACACACTGTACTCACAGTGACCGTGAAGGATCACACACTGTACTCACAGTGACCGTGAAGGTTCACCACACACTGTACTCTCACAGTGACTGTGAAGGATCACCACACACTGTACTCACAGTGACCGTGAAGGATCACCACACACTGTACTCTCACAGTGACTGTGAAGGATCACCACACTGTACTCTCACAGTGACTGTGAAGGATCATCACACACTGTACTCTCACAGTGACTGTGAAGGATCACCACACACTGTACTCTCACAGTGACCGTGAAGGATCACCACACACTGTACTCTCACAGTGACTGTGAAGGATCACCACACACTGTACTCACAGTGACCGTGAAGGATCACCACACACTGTGCTCACAGTGACCGTGAAGGATCACCACACACTGTACTCTCACAGTGACTGTGAAGGATCACCACACACTGTACTCTCACAGTGACCGTGAACGATCACCACACACTGTACTCTCACAGTGACTGTGAAGGATCACCACACACTGTACTCACAGTGACCGTGAAGGATCACCACACACTGTACTCACAGTGACCGTGAAGGATCACCACACACTGTACTCACAGTGACTGTGAAGGATCACCACACACTGTACTCTGACAGTGACCGTGAAGGATCACCACACACTGTACTCTGACAGTGACCGTGAAGGATCACGACACACTGTACTCTCACAGTGACCGTGAAGGATCACCACACACTGTACTCTCACAGTGAATGTGAAGGATCACCACATACTGTACTCACAGTGACCGTGAAGGATCACCACACACTGTACTCACAGTGACTGTGAAGGATCACCACACATTGTACTCTCACAGTGAATGTGAAGGATCACCACACACTGTACTCACAGTGAATGAAGGATCACCACACACTGTACTCACAGTGACTGTGAAGGATCACCACACACTGTACTCTCACAGTGACCGTGAAGGATCACCACACACACTGTACTCTCACAGTGACCGTGAAGGATCACACACTGTACTCTCACAGTGACCGTGAAGGATCACCACACACTGTACTCTCACAGTGACTGTGAAGGATCATCATACACTGTACTCTCACAGTGACCGTGAAGGATCACCACACACTGTACTCACAGTGACTGTGAAGGATCACCACACACTGTACTCTCACAGTGACTGTGAAGGATCACCACACACTGTACTCTCACAGTGACTGTGAAGGATCACCACACACTGTACTCTCACAGTGACCGTGAAGGATCACCACACACTGTACTCACAGTGACTGTGAAGGATCACCACACACTGTACTCTTACAGTGACCGTGAAGGATCACCACACACTGTACTCTCACAGTGACCGTGAAGGATCACCACACACTGTACTCTCACAGTGACCGTGAAGGATCACCACACACTGTACTCTCACAGTGACCGTGAAGGATCACCACACACTGTACTCTCACAGTGACCGTGAAGGATCACCACACACTGTACTCTCACAGTGACCGTGAAGGATCACCACACACTGTACTCACAGTGACCGTGAAGGATCACCACACACTGTACTCTCACAGTGACCGTGAAGGATCACCACACACTGTACTCTCACAGTGACCGTGAAGGATCACCACACAGTGTACTCACAGTGACCGTGAAGGATCACCACACACTGTACTCTCACAGTGACCGTGAAGGATCACCACACACTGTACTCACAGTGACCGTGAAGGATCACCACACACTACTCTCACACTGTTGCAATAAATAAGGCGCAGAGTAAAGTCAACGCTATTTAATCTTTATTGTTTGAAGTATCATACACTTCTGAAATTTTAAATATTAAAATACCGTGGACCCCCGCATAACGATCACCTCCGAATGCGACCAATTATGTAAGTGTATTTATGTAAGTGCGTTTGTACGTGTATGTTTGGGGGTCTGAAATGGACTAATCTACTTCACAATATTCCTTATGGGAACAAATTCGGTCAGTACTGGCACCTGAACATACTTCTGGAGTGAAAAAATATCGTTAACCGGGGGTCCACTGTATGTTATAAATGTATAAATTTAGTACTTAATTTCTATTATAATAATAATAAATGTAAAAAAAGAGTGTCGTTGAGGGAATTAAGTTACAGTTATTTACTGTAGTCAGTGTAAATTATTATTATCGTGTTCTTGCTGCTAAACCCGTCAGGGTCATACAGCTCCTGGCAAGTATCCAGGTTTGATTTAAGGAAGGGAAAGGGTAGCTCCACATTCTTGGATTAAGAGCCTTTCACCAGTATTAAATCAACCCTCTCAAAGAACTAGGGAATACAAAGAATGTTCGATAATAATGGTGGGACTGATGCTACAAGTTCTATTCTTCTCTTACTTCCTTGTTCAACACTTGGACACTTACATTCTTATATATTTTGTATGATACTTACTTACTTACTTACTTATAATGCCCCGCAAGATGTACATGATATATACAAAGTAGAATACATTTTTTTAACAAGAATCAACATTACTTGAGTGTGTATGGCAAATAATGACACACTGGCGTCTGTGTGATAATTGTGTCAGTCAGTGTCTTGACACTTTAACCTTGAGCAATTTATGTCCCTCCTCCATTTTAATTATGATTATATTCACGAGGAAGCAAGCGCTAAACCCTTGGAGATCATACCTCAAATGTAGCATGGGATCTACACACATTTGATCACAGCATATATTGTTCCGCGCTTGTTGATGGTCACTTGAATGGTTTTGTGTGTGTGTGTACATATATATAGTATATATATATATATATATATATATATATATATATATATAATATATATATATATATATATATATATATGTCGTGACGAATATGTAAAACTGGTCATTTAGAAAGAACTCGTATAAAATTAAGTTCTTTCTAAAATTTTCCCCTATACGCTTACAGATATATTTTTTTCATTAATGTTAATGTAAAAAAAATTAATTTTGCACCAAAAGAATCTTAGAAAACTTACCTAACCTTATTATAACAAGAGCAATTTATGTTGGCCTAACCCAACTAAATATATTTTAGATTTGTTTACACTAATTTAATACTAAACAAACAATGTGAAATATATTTTTTCGTTAGGTTCAGAATGATTTTGGCGAAATTATTGCATACACAAATTTTCGCTTGTCCTATATGGCAAGATGAGCGTTGCTATTTAAGCCAAGATCGCAAGTTCTGCCTATTCGGCACGACATATATATATATATATATATATATATATATATATATATATATATATATATATATATATATATATAATATATATATGTATATATATATATATATATATATCATGTTTTTATTAACACATCAGCCGTCTCCCACCAAGGCAGGGTGGCCCGGAAAAGAAAAACTTTCATCATTCACTCCATCACTGTCTTGCCAGAGGAATGCTTTACGTCTAAGTTATAAAACTGCAACATTAACACCCCTCCTTCAGAGTGCAGACACTGTACTTCCCATCTGCAGGACTCAAGTCCGGCCTGCCGGTTTCCCTGAATCCCTTCATAAATGTTACCTTGCTCACACTCCAACAGCACTTCAAGTCCTAAATTAAGTCCTTTCTAAAATTTTCTCTTATACGTTTAAAGATACATTTTTTTCATTTATGTTAATGCAAAAATTAATGATTTTGTACCAAAAGAACCTTAGAAAAACTTACCTAAACTTATATAACAAGCGCAATTTAATTTAGCCTAATCCAACCAGATATATTTTAGATAAGTTTACAGTAATTTAATAATAAACAAACACAATGAAATATATTTTTTTAGTTAGGTTCAGAATGATTTTTGCGAAATTATTGCATACATTAATTTTCGCTTGCCTCATTCGGCAAGAAGAGCGTTGCTATTTAAACAAATATATATATATATATATATATATATATATATATATATATATATATATATATATATATATATATATATATATAAATATATATATATATATATATATATATATATATATATATATATATATATATATATATATATATATATATAAAGATCATAGTAAACAGGTGATATCACAAAATGCAAAATAACCAGTGAAAAAATAGTGAAATTTCAAGAGCTTTCGTGATTTCTCATATTATCAAGGAATTGTAGATTTAAAAAGGTGAAATATGACCTTACATATGACGCTACTAACTGAGAGTGGGAGTGTAGTGAAGATTTACTCATGTCACATGTCAAGTAGAATTTAAGAGCGACAAGTCAGGCCTAGTTTAAAATCCTCATATTCTATTCAGGATAAATTTATCTAATTTTTACAGCCCTGAACTAACGTTCATATTGCAGTTAATAGTTTTTTACGAAGGTTGATTCAGTTATATTTCGCTCAACCAAGGACTTGCTTGATACAGTCGCCTCGCCCTTTTCAAAATCAATTAGGTGGTTAAAATTTCTCACGTGAATAAATTAGCTTGCTTAAAAGAATTCTTCCTGGTAAAGCTAAATATGCGTGATGTTCTTTTCTTAATGCCCTTGAATATAGTTATTAACCAATTCCTGCTTGTATTAAATAGTCTAACTCCATCCATAAAGTTTACTGTCGACTTTGAAAGAAAGAACTCGTGGCTTTTTTTTTTTTAATTTTAATTATTACAGGAACCAATTTAAAATCGAAATGTAAAGAAAACCATCAATTTGTTGCTCTTACGTACGCTATTATTCTTCACACTGACAGAGTTATATGTGCTGTATTCTCCTCCAGAGTTTATGAGAACTCTGCAGCTCAGAGTTCATAGCTGAGGGAATACTGAGGATTTATGGAAATAGCATAGGCTCTAAAATAGCCTAAAAATATTTATTGACATGTTTTATAATTATTAGAAGTATATTTTAGTTAAAAAAAAAAGGACAGAAAAAAATCAACCAAGATTATGTTAGTTCTGCCTTTCTATAAAAACAAAGAATTTCAAAACTAAAGTTGTATTTACAAATTTTAATACAGAAAAACAAACATCTGGTTAAGAATTCCCCCAGAATGCTGACGACTGTGTTTATAAGATCACCTGTAAAACAATACATTAAAGTTTATTATAGTTAAACTGGAAAAAAGTCTCGAACTAAAATTACATAATTACAGCATTAGAACTGAACAAGAGTCCAATGCTCTGTTTATTCACATGAGAGATTTTAACTACTTAATTGATTTTGAGAAGACCGTGAAGGTTGTATTAAGTCCATGGTTGAGTGAAATATACTCGAATCAAGCTTCATAAAAAACAGTATTGATTGCAATATAAATTCAGGTCTGTATAAATTAGATCCATTTATAATGCATAGAATTTGATTATTTTAAACTATGATTGACTTGTCATTCTTAAATTCTACTTGACATATGACCTGGCTAAATCTTCACTACACACCCATGCTCAGTGAGTACGGTCATATTTCACCATTGTAAATCTTCGGTTATCCTATTATTTTTACTGTTCCTTGATAATGGAGAAATCACGAAAGCTCTTGAAATTTCACTATTTTTTTTTTTCACTGTGGTTATTTTACTACAAATAAAGAAATAATAAAACAGTATCGTTGTTATTATAATCTGGAATATCGACAATATTTTCCATTACAGTTAACACAATAGTCATCCATTTTAAGTTTGGTGGACGATTTAATTATGTCAGAAAATCTTAATCCAACCTTTGTTACAACCTTATCAAAGTGTTTGGATGTTAAAGCTACATATTCTCTCTAAGAATCCTGTTGCACTCAGCTATCACAGTATATATATATATATATATATATATATATATATATATATATATATATATATATATATATATATATATATATATATATATATATGAACTTGTTTAGCCATAAGTTCTGATTTTTTTTAATATTTTCATTTTTCATATTTATAATCGTTCATTACTGTTTTTCTGAAGTATATTCAAGGATGTTCATCTTGAGAGTACGTGTCCTATGGGAAAACCTTTGTCTCTCTTTCCTACATCCAACACTTACAAATAAGGCAATATGACACCGTAGCGAGAAGCAAGTTCTTCTCGCAGTTGTTGTTCTCTCTGTTTTAGCTCCTCGACCTCCTTCTCTAATTTGTCTTTTTCTTGTGTCACTGCCTGCACTTTCTCGTCTAACTCCTGTAGAGCTTTCTTTTTATAGTCTCGATTTTTTTTGGCATTAATCGCGTTGAGTCTGCGTCTCTCTTCTGCTGGGTCTTCGAAGGGATCCTCCCTCTCGTAGACTTTGGGTTTCCTTGGTCGACGTTTTCTTTGTGCTTTGATTTTAGGAGCGTCTGCGGCGTCTTGTTTTCTGCGTTGCTTGTTCGTCTTGGTTCTGACCTGGCTGACGCAGGTGGCAAGAGTGCTTACTGTGGTGGGTGTGACCACCTGGTTAATGCCAGCATTCACACACACCTGAGAAAAGAAGCAACTTTTGAGATTTAAAGAGTGCTGTAACCCGGTTGATCACCCAGGACGCTTGGTAATAAAAATAACACACGTAAGAACATTAAAGGCCTTATTGAGTAATACAAATAAAATCTACTAGCACAAACTAAAACACACGACACAGTTATTATCAAACCAAGTTAATTTAACCCGAATCAGTTAAAATCTATAAAATTGCTCTCTTAAAATTTTCCCAAAGCTCCTAGAAGCACCTCGGTTACACACCTGAGGAGGTCCTGCTGCTGGTGCCACACACTCCGACACCAAGTGGTCGATCAGTTGACTCTGGTGTAGATTTTGGTGTAGATTTGGTGTGTCTGGCTGGAATAACGGGAGAGACTCAACATCGAGCACATTTGGCTCCGTCAAGTAGTTACTTTGGATATTGGTTTCCAAAGGGTTATAAGACGTGTTCGCTGGTGGGAGGAGGTCTGTGTAGTTGATACACGTGTCCAACAACTTACTAGTGTCCTCAGGCGGTATTTCGATGTCGAGGAACCTGACCAGCGCATTGTTGTCATACTGCGTGAGGTCGACCCCTTCAAGCAGTGAGGGAAGATCGTTATTCATATCTTCACGGGAGGTCAGTTGCATCCCAGGCAATTCATCTGCTGAGTTATTCGACATTTTCAGGATTATCACTCACTATGGTTTTTAAATGAAAGATTGTCAGTACTTCATCTTCACTTCACTTGTAGACCAGAGGAGGTTTATGATTTATATCATAATTGTTCCTTAAGTTTTAACTGAAGGGGCCATCCAGTTATTAGCTAGTACGTTACCTTGACCACAAGCACCTTCACTGTGAGCGAGCTAACACTACATGTAAGTCCCTCACACTGTCACCACCACTGAGTGCTAGGCAGTGGTGCAATAGTGTGACGTCAATGTTGGTGGGCGGTGATTGGCTGTGGTTACTCCCTCCATACGTTCTGGCTCCCAGACACACATCTCTGTCTCTGAGTAAGTTTATTCAGGTATACACAAATACAGTTACATAGATTATCATACATAGCATATGTGTAGAGAACCTAGGATAACCCAAAAAAACAAGTCAAAGTGACTTATTAGTAAGAGGTCATGGGATAAGAGATACCCGAGAGTTACGAGGGTTTAAGTTAGGATGAGTCAGCGAGGGCAAATAATGTATTTTGTTTACATAACATTGTTCTTACAGTATGACTAGTTATTTATATTCAACGGCGGCAGTATGCAGTTCTTTCAGTGTAATTAACTAAGTATAAACAATAATGTACACTTAAAAGCATTAACGTAATAATGGCGGGCGCCCGCATACACACACACACACACACACACACACACACACACACACACATATTTTTGATATATGTGAACAACATGATGGAAGGAATAGACTCTGAAGTGTCCCTATTCGCAGATGACGTGAAGTTGATGAGAAGAATTAAATCGGATGAGGATGAGGCAGGACTGCAAAGAGACCTGGACAGGCTGGACATGTGGTCCAGTAACTGGCTTCTCGAATTCAATCCAGCCAAATGCAAAGTCACGAAGATTGGGGAGGGGCAAAGAAGACCGCAGACAGAGTATAGGCTAGGTGGTCAAAGACTACAGACCTCACTCAGGGAGAAAGACCTTGGGGTGACCATAACACCGAGCACATCACCGGAGGCACACATCAACCAAATAACCGCTGCAGCATACGGGCGCCTGGCAAACCTGAGAATAGCGTTCCGATACCTTAATAAGGAATCGTTCAAGACACTGTACACTGTGTATGTTAGGCCCATACTGGAGTATGCAGCACCAGTCTGGAACCCACACCTGGTCAAGCATGTCAAAAAGTTAGAGAAAGTACAAAGGTTTGCAACAAGGCTAGTCCCAGAGCTCAAGGGAATGTCGTACGAGGAAAGGTTAAGGGAAATCGGACTGACGACACTGGAGGACAGAAAGGTCAGGGGAGACATGATAACGACATACAAGATACTGCGGGGAATAGACAAGGTGGACAGAGATAGGATGTTCCAGAGAGGGGACACAGGGACAAGGGGTCACAACTGGAAGCTGAAGACTCAGATGAGTCACAGGGACGTTAGGAAGTATTTCTTCAGTCATAGAGTTGTCAGCAAGCGGAATAGCCTAGCAAGTGAAGTAGTGGAGGCAGGAACCATACATAGTTTTAAGAAGAGGTATGACAAAGCTCAGGAAGCAGAGAGAGAGAGGACCCAGTAGCGATCAGTGAAGAGGCGGGGCCAGGAGCTGAGTCTCGACCCCTGCAACCACAATTAGGTGAGTACAATTAGGTGAGTACACACACACACACACACACACACACACACACACACACACAGTCGTGCAATACCTCAACAACCAGCATCATCATCAACAATGTTTCAGGGTGCAGGCACCCTACTACTATCATTCAAGTAGAAATAGTTCTTTGATGACGGTATAGGGCTCTTGATCCATGAAATAAGAATTTTTCATCCCTTGTACTAAACCTGATTTCTGCCCATTCCTCAGGTGCTGCGCTCATCGCTTCCCAGAATCCTTCAACATACATTACCTTGCTCATGCTCCACCAATACTTCAAGTCCCTGTACATATACATCTTATTAATCAACTAGTCGTCTGGCTTCGTTTTTTATAAGTTAAGGCAACATCTGCAGAGCCCCTCGCCTGGCTCCTGACTTCTAACATCCATACATACACCGCACTCTTACATTTCATATCATGCTTATCTATATCCAGTGGCGCCGTAAGGGGGGCAGGGGGAGCGGATCGCCCCGGGTGACACCATTTAGGGGGTGACACCACAGAGCCTCAAAAGAAGGTGACACTAATGATCAAAACAGTGCTGCACCAACATAAGAGAAAAATCCTTCGTTTCTATATAGCCTATTATAGAATTGCAGAGTACAAATAGGCCTATATAGGGAAAATAATTGATTTTGATGATGTGATAGATGATTTTGCAGGATTGAAGGCAAGGAAATGTAAGATCAGATTCACTGAGATGTTACCTGTACTCAAGGTCAAATCAGAACTAGTGTTTTTCTTTATTTTTCAATTTTTTTTTCATTGTTGAAGATGAATATATGTAGGATCTGTTGCTTAAACTCAAATACCACTTTGAGTATATGTTTCCTCAATGTTACTACGATTATTTATTTTATCAATAATAAAGTTCGGTTTATGGCCTTTAAACGTTCTCATTGCTAAACATTACTCACTGGTCATGTAGCAGTGATGTAACTGGAGTTTACTACCCTTATCCCCATGACCTTGGATTTCATGGGGGTGACATCAAAGATTCCACCCCGGGTGACACCAACCCTAGCGACGACTCTGTCTATATCATGTAAACACCAGACATTCATCCCAGATACATCACTACCTCCAGCTTCCACCTCCGTCTTCGGCTTCCTCTGTGGGAGGCACCTGGCAGGTACCTGGCAGCTCCGTGGCAGGTACCTGGCAACTCCGTGGCAGGTACCTGGCAGCTCCGTGGCAGTACTTGGCAGATCCGTGACAGGTACCTGGCAGCTCAGTAAAATAGTCATTGGCTCACAACTGTAAGGGCTCGGGTTCAATTCCTGGCAGGGCACACGACTCGTGGGCGTCTTCTAACACCTGTTCCTCCTCTCCACCAAGCAGTAGCACCCGTTACTCCGCTTCACCAAGCAGTAATACCTATTACTCCTCTTCACCAAGCAGTAACACCTGTTGTCCCTTGTTTACTTAGCAGTAAAGATAGCAGTTGGTCGACTGTTGTGGGTGGCATCCTGAGGCGACATTGTAGAGAATGATCAAAGGACCACAAACGATATAAACTCAGCATGCTGCTTGGCTGTCTTAAGATATTCCAGCCTTGACAACAATAAAAGTCTTCCTCGTTTATTGCCTGAAAGAGACCTGGCTTCGACGGAGGATCGAGCCTTCACCAATCATTGAACTGGATAACCCATACGGTTTAATCTCTTCACGAAGTACATGATAATACACTTTCATGTTTTATTCCAGACACCTCCAACTTTCACACCTTCTTTACCTTAACTCAGCGTAAAGAAAGGAGAATGAGAAACTTGTGAGAATTATATAATTGCTGATAAATTTACGAGTGGGGGATGAGTAACACTGGAAGTGGCCAGTAAATGAATGGGATTTTATGGGATTTTAGGTCAGGAAGCAGGACAAGTGTTGCCTGACAGGATTTTATGCGGACAGTACCTCACCCTATTATAAACTCATGATAGTCCAGCATTGCCTGGATCACAACAGAGATGAGACAGTATTTGACTTTACTGGGTTATCCTGAGATAAGAAAATTATAAAGTATGTGTATTGGAGGTGAATAACAAGTGTACATCATGGTGTGGGGTGACCTTGACGTGTGGTGGGGTGTGTCCTCCCCGCGACCCTCCATAGGAAACCCCAACCTAACCCCCAACATGCCGATACCCACCCAAACTCCACCTCCGTCCCCCACATCTCCACGTACTTATACGTATCCCTGCTCGACCCCTCCCTTCACCCACGCCATAATACACCGTGGTGTAATGCACTGTTAGTGAATATAATTTTCTTACTCTTTACTTTTCTTTATCCTGTATTTTAGTTTTATATTTAATATTAATTTTGAGAGACCAGTTACTACCGCACGGACGTACGCACTCTCTCTCTCTCTCTCTCTCTCTCTCTCTCTCTCTCTCTCTCCTCTCTCTCTCTCTCTCTCTCTCTCTCTCTCTCTCTCTCTCTCTCTCTCTCTTTTACACAGGGTTTGACAAGGTTAAGGATCCCTAGCTTTATTGACAAGCTATTTACAGGTTAAGGATTCCTAACTTTATTGGCAAGCTAAGAGCTGTTACCTACATCAGCTCATTTGAAAGCATTTTTATTGTTATGAGACATACAAGTAGGGGACAGGATGAAGTTGGAACCATCTGTGGGCCAGCATTTTCATTTGATCAACTGACTTTATCTCGTTGACATCATTATGCTGTACGAATGTGTTCCATACTCGAGTCATCCTGGGTATATAGGATCTCAGATGGAGTGAAGTTCTGGAGAAGGGTACAGCCAGAGTGAAGTTGCTGCTTTCTGCCCATCTTGTGGCATAAAAGCTTGTTTCACGCTGTCCTCGAAGTGGATCCAAGTGTGGTACTTTGACAATATTGGCCTTCTACATAACAGTAAGGCCACCCACATCCCTCCTATGTTGAAGGCTCTGCTGAAATGACAGATCTATCCAGGATGGGTCCAGGCGAGAGATGAGACGTCTTGCTCTGTTCTCTACTCTGTCAAGCAGTCGCAGATGAGGGGGGGGGGCAGGCAAACCAAGAAAGTGGAGCATACTCAAGGTGCGAGCGTACACAAATTGTGCCTCGTACAGAATCTTGCAACCCCTACTGTCAAGTAGATGCAAGATACGGCGAAGTGCTGTAAGCTTCCTGGCTGCCTTGTTTGCAAGATTTACAACATGGTTCTTCATGGTTAGTTTGGAGTCAAATTTCACCCCAAGGATATCAACTTCTTCTCCAGGTGCCAACACCCTCCCATTCATCATTACTACTGCACCAGCATTATCATCATGGTACCTAGAGACGATCATCATTTGCGTTTTCTCAGGTGCAAGTGTTACTTGCCATCTATTTCCCCAAGCTGATATAGCTCTCAGCTGGGATTGATGTCTTAGAGCAGCTGGCATTTCTTGCTTTGGGATATAAGTGAATGTCAGTTGCAGTCGTTGCATAGCATGTGATTCGGGGATGAAAATGAGAAGGTCGTTGAAGTAGACATTCCATAACAATGGTCCCAGCACGCTTCCTTGTGGAACAACTTGCCCCAATAGGAAAGTCTTGCTGAGTCCGGTCCAT